GCATCCCACGCAGTCTCCCTGCTGCCTTGGGGTAGGGGCACTTGGAACGGTTTCTGGCCCCTGGGGAATTAAACACACGCACCCCATCCCACCCCACCCCACGCGTCCTGCAGCCCCACGGGAAAAGGTTGCGCCTGTTGGCGCCGGTCGCGCCATCTTACCTTTGCCAGCGAGATCTTTTGCGTTGCGCAGGTCTGCTGTTCCCGTACCAGAGACGGTAATTCCGAACGAAACGCAGCGGCGCGTTTGAGAGCGGGACGGCAGCAAGCTGCAGCGAAGGAGTGATTCTCCTTTTTCCTCTTCCTTTCTTCCTAGGCCAAAGCGAACACATTCCGCGGGTGCGAGCGTAAAGATCCGAGCGTGCGTGTCACTGCTCCGTAACGAGGATAAACCGCGTAAAATTCAGTGTAGCGTTGTGTAAGAGTAAGTAATAAACTGTGTTGCCATACTGTGGAAAGACTCTCTGTCGCACAGGCGGAAGCGGCCGTTCTGGAGGAACGGCAGGCGCCGCAGGACGGAGCGGTTCTGCTCTCTGGCTGCGTAACGGCATAGGAAGCGTTAGCAACACGCCGGGGTTCAGTGTAACAAACCCAGCCCGATGCAACATCCCCACAGGCAGAAGCGAGCGGGCCCATGGCAGAGTACAGCCAGTACCTCCTCCCCCCGCTCCTCTGGGTCTGCGCACGCGTCTGCCACCTGGCAGCGGTTTGAGACGCTGCCGGGGCAGAATGGGAGGTGCCGGGGCAGAATGGGAGGGAAAGACCACTCGGGATGGGGGAGAGATATGATCTACCTTTTATTTTTGTGTGGAACAAAATTAACATCAGAAAACCAGCCCTCCGCTCCCCCCCGTCCCGAGGTCAAGGCGTCAGCCCCCCCCTTCCCATGACAAGCAGGACCTGAGCAAACGTTCCCTGACCACTTGCACCATCGCCGGCGTAACGCCCGGTGGCGGCGGCGTAACGCCCAGTGGTGGCGGGCAGAGGCTGGAGCCTGGGACAGCAGGGAAGAGGTAGTTGCTGGCACAGCTGGCAGCAAGCGCATCTCGCTCTGACCTTCCCCAACGCCAGCTTCCAGCATGCCAGAGCTGTATCCCAAAGGGTTTTCAGCCACCCCCGCGTGTTCATAGAGCTCTCGGGTCGCCGCAGCAGACCGCTTGAGAGCGGTCCTGCTTTTCACATCGGCAACAGTCACGGCCTTCACTCCCAGCAAGCGGCGCAGCAGCCGCTCCCGCCAGGCCCGTCGCACGCGAGGTAGGGGTCACCCGTTGGCTGTCGCCTCTGCGCTGCCACAGCCG